GAAACTGCGGGGAACTCTGCAAAAAAAGCATCTTCGCACGGACAGCCCGTGCTTTGGCCAATTATCTTGTTTTACTATTAATAGATTACCATACTTGTATTGGCTGCTATGGCTAACAACAAATTCTGCGCAATAAGATTTGAAATCTATTTGCAGCATGATGACAACCCAAGAACTGCGACGCCAAACACTAATGCCGGTGTGCAGGTAAAATTCTTTTGACATTTTTGCAGAGAATTCGTAATTTAGATCCAGATCCCGAATCAAGGTCGAAATATCTTGATAACTTAAAGTTGTACCAGGCACTCGGAAGCATTTTTACATGGGACCAAACCAATCGCCTAGCGGTCTTGTTATTCTTTGTCCTGGCATTGTATTGTGAACGTCATGCGGGGAATTCAGTTTAAGGGAATTATTCCAGCGCAGGGAAGCCCTGCACTGTTACTCAGACTCATGGCTGCATCTCATTGCCGTCAGAACTTTGCATCGATTTTGCATACGATTCCGGCGCAAAAAAAATTTCGTTTGCATGTGCGGTTTGAGCTATGCAACAGTAGGACAAAACGCATATTGTCGAGGGTTGTGTGCGTGTGTGTGTATGCGTGTGTCCGAGTGTGCTTTGTCTTGCACTTTCAACTCGGGAACCACAGAAACTAGGGAGCTGAAAATTTAGGATGATGTTCCCGCCCACATGTGACCTGCAAATTTAAATTCAGCCTCCCCGTACCCGAGGGTAGCACGTATGGCCCTGTTGAAGTTTTGAAGGGTAAAATTATTATCACGAGAACCGTGGAATCTAGGAAGCTGAAATTTTAAGGCAATGACCTACCTGTGTACGACGTTGCAAATTCAAATTCAGCGTTTCCGCACTCTCGGGTATCAACTGTGGCCCCATGAAAATTTTGGCGGGTAAATTATTATCTCGGAAACCACGAAACCTAGGAGACCGAGGTTTTAGGCTAATGACTCCCTGCCCACGTACGATCTTGCAAATTCAAATTCAGCGTTCCTACACGCTCAGGTATTACATGCGACTTCCTGAAAGTTTCGACGGTAAAAATTATTGTCTCGAGAATCACAAAAGTTGTGAATCTGAAATTTTAGGGTGATATCCTCTATCAACGTACGACCTCCGCAAATTTTGACTCAGTCTTCACGCACCTCTGGGTACCGAGTACAGCTCCGTGAAAGTTTTATTAGGGAAATTATTATCCTGTGAACTGTAGAAGCTAAAAAACTGGAATTTTATCGTGGCATCCCCTGCCCACATACAACTCCGCAAATTTTCAACGTCCTAGTAGAAAAATCATCGAGAAAAATCATCATCTTGGAAGCCAGAAGAGTTAGGGGGTAAGAGTTCCAGGAGAATTTTTCTTGCCTAAGCAGGGGCATAACGAACTCGAATTCAGTTCCTAAACATGCCAGCGTCTCAAATACGACTACCTGAAGTTTTTGTCTTAAAGATCATTCGAAGCCAGAAAATTAGGAGATTGAAGTTTTGGAACGATATTCACCCTTCGAGGTTTCAAATTTCGCTTTCACATTCCGTTGTGTGAAATTTTTAACTATTTTTCAACGTTTTAACTCTTTTTGCATAAATCAAAGTGCAAAGCAGTGAAAATCATTAACAGACAATCGCTCAGTAGACGCGTGATCGCGCCGGCTATTCTGGTGCGCTCACAAAGCGTGATCGCACCGGCTACTCAGTTGCACAAAACGCGTGATCGCACCGGCTGTTCTGGTGTTCGCTGCTATTTATTCTTTTTTTGAGACAATAGATTGCTACAGCATTCTTGTTCCTGTAGGCTAATTTTGCTTCCCCGCTCCCCCCTCCCCTTGCTCCTCCCTCCGGCCCCACCACCGCCCATTTGTGACCACATTTTTTGTTTTTGCCAATTTTTGTTTTGCTTCCGCAAAATTTCCCTTCCACTCGCACTTTTCCGACGAGATGGCCAAAAAGCTTAGTCTGCTCCAGCTCGTTTTCTAACCGCTAAATTGTGTATCTAATTTCTTTTTCAGTTGCTTTGACTAATGCTGTATCGTTTGCTTGCGAGCCCCTCTGATGATCCTGTCGTTAGCTTACTTTTTAAAACGGTTATCAGCTTCAGTGTCTTTTTTGATAAAGCACCTAACAAGGTTTAGCCGCTGTGAGATGTTTGTCTGGTGAGCATACTCAACCGAGTCACTGCTAGACCGCAATGAAGTGATTTGTCAACTATGCATGTGACTATTTGATCACATGGTGGGGAACAAATGCTTCTTTGCATTTGAAAAAGTCTAGAAAAAATTTTCAAAAACGTGCTACTCAGCCAAACGTCTGCAAGAATTTTTATATTGTAATATGATTCTTTGGAAAAAACCAAAAGTGTGAGTAAGGTCAGAGGCACCAAAACGACACCGTTAGAAATTTTGTCAAATCGATTTTGAAAAAATAACAGCGCTTGGAAAAAAATGGTTCAAAAACCGAATTTATTTTTCTGAGGTATGAAATATTGAATGGTGGACCAGCCGGCCCGGCTATACGATATGCAAAAGTTGGCGATAGTGTGTATCATAAGTGGACATGTGTTTCCGAAATGGGCGACATTTATTGCATGAGAGTTCATACCTGCACGGTTAATGATGGTCAAGGCGGCGATGCGGTTGAAGTGATCGACAAAAAAGGGTTAGCGCTTGCGAGGCATTGGTCTATTTACATTCGATGTAGTATCTCATTTACTTGTAATACTTGAATTAGCCGTTAATTATAGTCGGCCTCTAACCATGCTATTAAAAATGATTTCCAGCTGCTCTCTCTAATTTTGCGTAGCTGCAGTTTGTCTGCCGGCGACCCTTGCGTTCACATTCTCATCCTGTAAGAATTATCAGCTCACCAGTTCTGCCGACAGGAGCACATGACAAGCTAGAGGCTTCGATATGTTACTTGTGCGCTTGTGCTTGTTTTATTTGTGTGTGTCTTGTATGTGTAATTTGTGTGTGTGTGTGTGTGTGATGTGCGTTTTGTGTGTAAATTTTTTTGTGCGTGTGTTGGATATCATCATCTTGTCCTGAACTATGCAGCATCTTCACGTTATCGGCTAGGAAATTTTTTATACTTCGTGTTTAAATCTTCGTCTAAATTTACAGTTTTCAGCGATTATTTTCGTGATTTTTTCGAATTTTAATCTGTACATCATACTAATCATTAGTTATTATTTCAACAAATTAAGCTATTCATCAGAATTTGTAATAAGTGATCCTGCTCTTTTAATGCTTTCTAGTGCGGTGTGGTTTAAGTGATTCTGACATATAGTTTTGGGAAAAAAATGGACAGAGAGGGTGAATGCAGTCCGTCCTGCAATATTTCAGGAATTTACGCAATCCGTTGCAGACACGATTCTTCACTAACACAGATAACAGCATTTACATATTTGGGTGAAGTGGACTGTTGTGCGAGTGTGTTGTAAAAAACACCAGTGGTAGGAATGAAGTGAACTCAGGGCACTATGGCAGGCAAGAAACCCGCTTTTTATTGTATTCCAGTTGTAAATAATCCACTCATCCCTTGCTAATTTGAATACGGGAACCCTTCAAATTTTCTCATCATCAGTAATTGATGCACTATTACTTTTACATGCATCCGTGGGTTCGGGTCTGCGTCAGACGAGACAGTAGGATCGGTTTTTGTAAGGGAGGTAATATCAATGGCGATTTTTGACCCGTCTGGCTGATGACCGCGTATGAAATGGCAAAACAAATCAAACAAAGTGTGGCGGCCGAAAATCCAAATCGAACACAAAAGAGGTTCACTGATGGAGTATTCTCTGTAACTGAACCAATTCGTGTTTCGAGCCAAACTTTTATGATGAAATTGCTTATCTGCAATTGAATGCTCAGATAAATTTGACCAGCGAAATCTGAATATTCAGCCTTGATTACATTGAGACTCCAACTTTAATCTGGCATATGATAGCACTGATCATCGAACACCTGGATTATCTGTTTTGAGAAAATACTGCTACTCAATTATCTGAGTAATCTGAACTCACACCATTGCAAAGTAATGCTTCTCCTTCGGTGCTGAACTGCTTACATCCAATTTAGCTTCCTCTGAACTCTGCACATGAATTACTGGTACCACTAATTCATCTATTCCTATCATAGCTAGCATTTTCTTTTCCACTTTCGTCACCAATTAGGTTTCGCTTTTGCACATCGTTGTCGTACAACATTACAGTACTGTCTCTCAATTACTCACATAATTATCCTTAAAAATTGCTATTATTGAATATTTCATTTTGAATGATCTGTCCATACTGCCTGATATATTATCGCGTTACAGTTG